TCTTCTGGTTTCTGCGGCCCTGGAAGTGCCCTTTTTACAGGAAACGTGACATGAGCCAGCAAGGACAAACATCAGAAAGAAGGCAGTCGTGGCTTTTGTGATCAAGCTCTACAGTTGGCAGCTGTCAGCAGACGCATGACCTCTTGGACCTCATGTTGCTTTTGGGGAAAAGGATGTGATCCAGCTAACAGTTAGCAAGTGGAAAGATAAGGGGAACGTCTACATCTGTGATGGTGAAACCCTCCAACCGACACAGATACTGGATGTCCTCTTGGTCTGTTATGTGCCAGACTGCCATGTTAACCAGCATCCTCCCCCCACTAACGGCTTAATATGGCCTCCCCCACCACCAATGGCTGCCGCTACCTCATTAATGCCCAATCGTCCAGCTCTGGGACTATTGTCGGAGGGGGAGGGAGCCCATGCTTGAATTCCGCAAAGCAATTTGAATATGTAATGTGCCAGCCAAGATATAATCACCAAATCCTATTCAGTGATTAAAGCACACTTAAATTGCACTCACTTAACATTGCTACACAGAAAGATGCAATAAGCGGGTTAATCTGCTGCTGGCTTTACAGATGTTCCTTTACATGTTTACATTCATCATTTGCACTTTGAACATATTTTGCACATTTTCTTGGATAAAAATTCCTCCACTTGTTTACCACCCCTGCTCGTCAGATCTTTCATGTCTGCGCAGAGACAACAGGCGTAGAGACATGGGGGGCTCCCTGGGGTTTGCCAACTCCCCTTCCTCCTCCCCCCTCCAAAAACAAAGCCTCCCCAGTTACAAGCCTGACCCAGTAACCTGGCTAGCAGCCTCGGGGTGTAGCACACCCTGTCTTAGGGCCCATGTGAGCACACAGGGCTAGCATTTGTGTACAGAGCAAAGTCACTTTCGTCAATGCAATCGGCTCTTATGGGGATTAGAACAGCTCCTTTTAGACAGGGCTGATTGTGTGGTAAATGTGTAGAGGCCTAGCAGGCAGAGCTCGGGAGGGTGTAATACTGGCCGGGCTAATCTAGCCGGACACAGGCATCTTTCTTTACAGTCGCTTCACAGGAATGGCCTCTTACTTTCAGCACCAAGCCATGATATGTATCTGATTTCTGTACATATACGTTTAGAGAAAGAAACAGTTGACACAACTTATTGTGACTTGGAAAATGACTGACACCTTTCCCTCAAACTAAGTGCACTGACTGCTGTTATTTTCTTCATAAAACAATTCAAGGCAGCAAAACCCATCGACCTATGACAATAAAGTCATCCAAACATTTGGAAAATCACCACCTCTTCAACGATGTGTTCTTAAGAATCATATAAGACATCTTCCAGAGGAACTGTCATAAGCGTGCTCCACAACAAATCAGAAGTAATTAGAGCGTTCAGGTTCTCAGACATCAGCGGGAGAGTATGCAAAACATCTTACCCCTTGGCTCCCCTTGAAGCAAATCGCTGGCTGATTTGATAGTGATGCCTGAGGAGAGAGAGAAAAGGAGACACTGGTCAGTGATTGAATCAACAGCTCATGCATTATGAGTAAAGAAATACCGCCATTGTTTCTAGATAACTGCCGTTTGGATTAGGGAACTTAAAACGCTAAAATGTTGCCATCACTCCCAGCTGCTCAGATGCTTCTTGCTTTAATCAGAGGAGAGTAATGTGAGCGTTAATCGTTCCATATCCTGCAAAAAACTGTGCTCATGTCAGTCGGCTGGCCGAGCGCGTTTGTGCGCGGGTGTGCGTTTCGGCTGATTTCCCCTCTAAATGAATAAAAGGCTAAAAAGCAGATCCCAGAGGAAAGACAAAGTACGCTCTGAAACCAATTATATGTCTTTGAAAAAAAAGCACTTTTACAAGCCTGCACTGTGCTGGAAATACTGTACTGCTCTCCAAGACCACAGTGAAACCTGGCTTAAGCTCCTGAACACAATATTGTTTCTCTCCCAGCTAAATGATAAAGAAATATTTGAAAAATCCCTTTAAAAATGAAGCCTGCTTTTGAGTCGACACGACTCCCAGTAAATAGCTGGAGACTGTTATCCACGAAACACAGCTTTGCCTGTGATTGACAGGGCTCGTAATTTATTATTAACAGCTTTGAGAAATGTCTTCGCTATTGAGCATTGTTGTAATTTTCTTCATAATCCATTAGCTTTTAATATTGAATGGAATAATAAATATTAAAGCACATAACACAGCCGTAAGGCTAAATCTAACTTGTTAAAGGTCCAGATTTGATCATTTACTCACTAAAAGAGTCGCTGTTTGACAGAATTGAAATAATTGGTTAATTGAAGTGCTTTTATAACACGTAACTAGTGGTTTTACAAATGTCAACAGACTGTTTATTTATTAACAATTAGCAAGATTTCTTTGAGGGAGTTGCCAGGTTGAGGAAAAGCCCTCTGACTGATGTTTATTGTTCTACCGCAGTGGCATTTAAATCACATTTATTAACAACTGCAAACATGACGGCTTATTGGAAAACGAAGACTAATGGGTGTTTAGTGACGGCTCGTCACATTTAAATAAAACTAAAGGAATTTATTACAACTTGGGAAAACATAAAGTTGTTACTGATTTGTAACTTGAAGTATTAGTAAAAATGTTATTGACCTTTAGTAAAACCACTGTTGTTTGCTAAAATGGCACCCATTACAAAGAGCTGCAGATTAATTCATCAACATAAAATAAGCAATTGTTCTTATTCTTATTTTTGAGCAGAAAGCAGCAGTGGTTTCCATCCATCCATAAATACCTGCTGGTTTTTGGTTAATTATGGATAATTATGATTTTACAATAATGTTATAACAGTTGTGACAAACTGTTATAACATTATAAAATGGTTTAGTGCATTAGATCTTCAGCTACAGACCTTATGTGATAAGCTTTTATAGTTTCCTTAATAAAATCATTCTCTAGCTTGTGCTTTACAAAAACACATGTATGAAAAGCATAAATAAATCATAACTAGTAACAGAAACTCTCAGGTTGCGGCTCCTTGGGACAACATCTTTCACAGCTCGGTGGGAGACCAGCGGTCTAAAACCGTATTTACTATGGGTGGTCTCTGACTTGGAAAACTTTTGCAGTAACCTCTCCTGCCTGCCTGCCTGCTGTGGCCTGGGAGAAGCTGTCAGGTCTATGAGCTCTGGAGTTTACTCTGCTTCACAGACCAATGAGCTCCGGAGATGGGCAGGCGTCCAAGCGTGTAAAGGCCAAAAAACAATACACAAGAGCACAGCAACAACTTGCAAAACCGTGCCACGCCGACCCAATGCGTACTACACAGCTGATCCACCGAGTCCCAAATCCAGAGTTAGTTTTGGGCTGTTGTCTTTTATGGTCCGTGACCGGAAATAGACTTGTTTTGATGGTTAAGCAGGAAACAAACAAACAAGAAATATATTTAAGCAAATATGACTTCAGTCATAACTGGGACTAACTGTCTTTTCGAGCATTGCTCTGGGAAAGACAATTTAGACAGACTAAATTATCCCGGTCTAATCTAATGGACCATAAAAACAATAAAGCAGTCTCCAGATTCGGAGCAGTCGAATAATTTGCTTGATAGCTTGTTCATTAATTTATTCATCAGAGCGGAATAGACAGGGGGACAAAAAAGCCTTTTAAAGAACATTTAATGATCGGCAGGGACAGTAAGTAGTGCGCATTTGGAAACGCAAAGCAGAACTTATGATACCAACAGAGGACGGTAGTAGTCCCCAACCACATTTTGTTTATAGGAAATCGCCTGCGTTTTCCTATAATCTAAATGTACATATATTTTTAGATCTAGTGTACTGACACACGAAAACAAAACAGCGAAAACAAGCCCAGGGGATAACCACAAACCTTTGTCATAAAAGAAATCTAATACCTTTTGGTTTTCAAGCAGATTACGATTTGATAACTTCTCATTTTCTGTTCAAAACAAAACAAATTTCTCGGATTACAGGAAAATTCAGTCACCAGAGTGAAATGATTTGCTTGTTATAATCACAATAAATCATGCTCAGCCTGCCTTTTACTGTAACACAGCCAGAAGAAAGTAACGCAGTACACAATTATCTACCAAAACGCTTTTGTCGACGGCATTTGAACCGTCTGTAATCGGGATAAGTGGGCAAACTTCACAGTTTTCTCCCTAAAATAAGGAACTGTCTTATTTTCATGCAGGTCCCGGAGTTGGGAGGCGATTCAAAAACAAGAAAATATAGAGAGGAAAAAAGACACACAAGCTCCAAAGTTGGTGAGCCTGATAAATTGTCTTACCTTCAAGTTCTGGTAGGCTTCGAGGGTCCGGATGGCGGTGTCAGTGAGCTTGACGTGGTACAGAGTTTGATTCGGGGTGTTTTTGTTGATTTTAGCACAGGAGAGCCCATACCGATGCTCCTGTCTCAGCGCTGCCATTTCTACAACTGAGAGCTGCTGCTGGCGACATTCTGCCTGAAACGTCACCGAGGAGACGACCGTCTGTGGGCGGAGCTAACACACACTTACAGGAGCACGCACGCACGTACTTTCGCTTTCGAGAAGTTCCAGTCGTCGGACACCCCGATCTCTTTTTATCTGCTCTTTGATCCGTTCGCGGTTTGGGGTTTGGTCGAAGTTAATCTCATCCACCGGGGTTTTGGTAAATGGCATGTCGTGACTGTTTGCAACGTTAGAATAAGGTAGACTATAAAAAGTTACACCTGATGGGATTTAGCAGTAATTTATGTTTAATTTCTGTAGCATATTTTCGGAACAAGAATATATATAATATATATATTATATAATATTATATATATATATATATATATTAATATATTATATATATATATATATATATATATATCTTGTCTGACAGTGGCGTACACGGAAACTTTAAAATTTGAATAATTGGTATTCAGATAATCTTCATTTTAAATTTAAGTAAATAATACAATATTTATTGACGTGAGAGGATCTGGAACCAACATTTTTTTAAAATTATTATTATTATTATTATTATTATTATTATTATTTCCTTTAAATCTGGCTAAAAACTAAAGCAAGTATTAAAGAAATTCCGAACCAAACTCCTTACATAAAAACATGTGTAGCCTATCTTATCTCCATATGGCAGAAATCAAATAAGCACTTTCATTCATTTCTTAACAGATAACTTACTTTAGTTGCTGATTAAAGAGCACAGCCAGCTCTTATTTACCTATACATATTAGCCAGTTCTCTACTTGAGGGTTTACAAACTATTTGTGAAATAAAAGTGTGATCATAAACCACTTAATAGGGTGTATTTTGCAATGCTTCAGATTTTGGTATTGCTGTGTTGATATGGTAAAATGATAAGTGGGAAATAATTTTACAGTGATCTGTTATTGAAACAACGTCAGTGGGTTATTATTTTCTGGGGGGTTTTCTGTTACATTAGCAGAAACCTGATAGCATTGTATTATTACCTGTGAACGATAGTGTTGTTGCCCCACAGCCAGAGGTTCCTGGATTCAGGCCAGGGCGTTTTTCCCAGCGATTGAGCTCCCGCACCCATGGGCATTGTCATGAAAGGGATTTTAAATCCAAAAAGTTTCACTTCCTAGTTTTTAAAAAAAGAGCAAAATAGTTTATCACACTTTTTATTATGAGATAAATCTAATTGGAAGTGTAGAACAAAAAATAAATCTCACTTTTCCAAATATCTTGCTCCCATACATGTTTGGACAAATGCTTTTGGGCCACACCTCATAATCTTCAAAGTCAGAGTTTTTCAGTCTTGTTGCCACAGTTGTGTCAAATCAAGCACCTTAGCCATGCAATGGGCATGATACTATAACACAATGCAACCAGTATAAGTCAGTTTCTGAAATGTCTTTTCTCTTGGATATTCCATGGTCAACTGTAAGTGGTATTATTACAAAGTGGAAGCATTTAAGAACCACAGCAACTAAAAGGCACAAAGGCACAGACCACGTAAACTCGTAGAGTATGGTCACTGATGTAAAAGTTGCCAATGCGCTAGTGATTCAATAACTTCCTCTGGCATTAACATCAACAGGAAACTGCACCAGAAGCTTTGTGGCATGAGTCAATGGCCAAGCAGCTCTTGTAGCTGTAATATGTAGACAGCCCAGTGCTTTTACTCATGTAGTGTATATATGTTGTGTTGCTTTAATGTAAATCTGCTGTTGGCCTGGGGTGTAAAGTTAAATAGCAGCTTAAAAAAATCTGGCTTGTGTGTTTTAAAGATGAAACATTTGCATATATTTTCTTTACAACCATGACAAAAGCAAACATCGCATGGAAAGTGTGATGGATAAAACACTGCATTTATTTCCATTTCCAATGAATAACTGTGACTAAAGCCAAATGGATTGTGCATAAACTGTAATCCACGGTCATCTTTGCAGCCTGGGTGTTATCACGGGTCATCTGTGAATCCTGTGACACTTCAGCGAATATACAAATCTCCAGTGCAACTTGGGGTAAATTAAGTGGGAGCTTGTGTCTGCTGAGAGCTCATTGGTAGATACTGCATTCATGGAAACTGCGTTATGGAGCACAACGGTGAAGTCATTAAGAAGCTTACAGACGTTCTGGCAGATTAGGTTTTTCTCTTCTAATCCTGTAGATTACCACTGCACAAGCCCTGCTGGCTGAGAGTGCGTCGATGCGTTGCAGTTTCTTTACATTGATCATTTTTGTGTGTGTGTACTAAAGTGTCATCACTGAACTACGTAGACTAAGACTGATACGAGCGGAAAAAGGACAGGTCAAAGTGCGCCAGAAGTACCGAAAGTAGGCATGGGACCAACACTTTGAAAAAACCACCGATGAAGCTAGGATTTAAGGATCTGACCTGGATTTACTGAAGCGCAACATGGATTTTTGTAAATATTATTTGAAGGAGATATTTTGTTGCGCTGACACACCATAGTTGGTGAACAGAACTCCTAACCTACACCTAAGGAACCACTGGGTGAACAACGAGGATCATCTCTTTTGGAGGCCCATGCTCTCTGTAGTGAAATGGAGACAGAGCCATGTTGTGAAGCGCATAATGACCCTGGAGTAACGGCTACAGATTCTGAGGTGAAGGAGGCAATTTTCGGACTTGTTGATGGAAACAGTCTCAGTGAGCTGCCCCGTGCGCCTGCAGAGGAAGGCGAGGAGCTGTTTGGGAGTGAGCAGGCTGAAACACAGAGAAGTGCAGCAGAGAATAAAGACACTGAGATAAAAAGCCCCTCTGATCCTGAGCAAGAGAGTGGGGAGACAGGATGCAAGGCAGTGAAGAAATTCAAAAAATCAAACAGTTGGAAGATGGTAAGATTTCAAGACCCATCAACAGAAGATGATGTGTTGGAGAGGGACAGCTCCACGGAGAGTCTCTTTCCTGAATATGCCACACAGGAGTGGACTTCCACAAGCTTTGAAGACCTGTTCATGGCAGAAGATTGGACAGAGATTACAGGTAAGATACATTATGTGTTGGTAGGAAATCCTTTAAAAAAATTAATAAATTAGATTTTATAACCTTTATCTGTCTCATATAGTTTTGACGACAAACTAAAACAAGTGACCAAAACGTGACCGAGCTAAGGCCCGGCCTGTTTGTGGCTGTTTCTGAGCACGTGTTTACCCACAGCAGATTAACCCCATTTCCCTCTGCACAATCTTTTCTTCTTTCCTCACGCAGAGGACCGGCTGTTGAGGAAGAAAGTGCTGGAGCCTGGGACTCCACAGGGCCCACACCCTGCCTGGGACCAGGAGGTTACTGTAAAGATGCAGTGTGTCCTGGAGGACCGCACTGTGGTGGAAAAGGACTGCAAGCTTGTCTTTGTTATTGGCGAGGGAGATGTGAACCAGGTGAAAGCTTTAAGCCTCTGCCACAACGTGTGTTTCTGCATTATTGAGAGTGTGTATTACATCACACTTGTTTGTCTCTGTATTACATCACACAGTGACGGATAGAGACACAAAAAGTAGGTCAGGAAATCTCTCTAGCCAAGCTGCTGAGTCCGTGAGCTAACATCAGCATGCTAACATGCCCATGCTAACAGGCCCATGTTCTGAGTGACTCAGAACATGGGCCTGTTTGTGATTAAAACAAAAGAAAAAAGAAAAAAACAAAAAGTGTAGTCGAGGTCAGAAGCAAGAGCCAGGCAGAAACCAAAAATCTGGAACTGGTTAATTACTACTTAATTACTGCTCATAAGATAATTACAGATGAAATAATTTGTTGCTGCGCTGCTAAAATGAGGCAGAATCCTCTTGATGAGGTTCAATTAAATTCAAATCAGTTTTTTCTCATATAGCACCAGTTCTCAACAATAGTCAATCAAGACACTTTATATTGTAAAGTAAAGACCCTAAAATATTAGAAAGAAACCCCAACAATCACACGATCTCCCATGAGCCAACACTTGGTGACTGTGGGAAGGAAAAACTCAATTTTAACAGGAAGAAACTTCATGAGATAGCTATTAGTTATATAATCATAAAAAAAAAACAGAATTGCTCACCGACGTTTTTCTGTCTTATTTATTCAGAAGATATTCTGAGCTATATATGAATAAATAATAAACCAAATGTAAAGGTAAGCCATCCAATAAATATTAGACTTAACCATCAACCGCTTGTGGTGGCACAAGAGGAAACCTCAGCGGCACACGAGTAAAATTATTGCTTGTCCTCTAATATCAAAACAACCAAGTCCAAACGAGACCTATAAGACCAACCAGACAGACTGACATTGACAGTCATTAAGCTAGCATATCGGAAAACCAGGTTCAGATACTTGGAGTTCATCATCTAACGTTGCAGTCAGTTAGAAGAAGCAGACACTGTCTTTTGTGTAATTCAAATAATACGTACTCAATCCTCTAAATGACTTGTACTTTGAGACCTGCAGGCCTTGGAGGAGTGTGTCATGTCCATGCAGAAAGGAGAGATCACATTACTGCTAACAGATTCACAGTATGCCTATGGACTTCTGGGAAGGTAAGGACTTTCCAGTTATTGTTGTTTGATGATAATGTTATGAACTAATGAAATGCAATGAAACGGAAACAAGAAGTGGGCTGTTACCTTTTTTTTTCAACATGAATGACAATTAGATATCATCCCAGTTAGCCGCCCAGACCTCTTGAACCTGTTGCTGTGGGGGCGGCCTGGTTATCCAGGGGTAGCAGGGTTAATGGACCATAAACAGGAGCAGATGGCTTCCTCCTAACAGCCTGCAAAGGCTGCCTATCACCGGTGCGTTCACAACATCCCGACCTATGGGAGCGCAGCGCTCACGTTATGGCCACTGGTTTGGGTTTATAACCTTTACACCATTAAAGAGTCAGGATAAACACAGAGGAGATTGGTGTGTCACTGCAGAAAACCCGATTGTTTATAGTTTAAATGTTTGTTCTAGATAACCTGAACACGTGAGAATGAGACAGTAATGCACCACAGTGATTAGATGAGATTGTGTATAACACCAGTGAAAAGACTTAACGAAAACATATTAGCAGATGTTTTTAATGCGATTTGTTTCCCCCTGCATGATGTTGCTGTAACATTTTTTCCGCACAGCATTTTATTCCATATTAAGCAATTTCATAAAAAGTAAAATTGTGTCCATTAATTTAATTCTAAAAGCCATAATGTGAGCTCTGTACTAATGTTTGAATAGCCCCACACGCATTAGAGCAAATTAAAGATTATTAGACAGTGGCTCTCTGACTGGAGAGTAGTAACAAATATCACATTTGTCTGCATTTTTTTCTAGGTGTAAATCATACTGTACCATTAACTGAGAAGCTGTAATTCAGAGTAATTCATAAGAAAAACATCTATACGCCCCAAAATACTATGTATCAGTGAAAGACTGAAAAAGGTTCAGTGAACTTTGTTCAGATTTACTGAACACAGTGTTTTTCCCCCAGTGTGCGTGTAGGTTATAATGAGTGCTGTACATAAGGTTCTGTTTGTGTTACGGAGATATGTGCACGACATGATGTGTGAGAGGTAAGGACGAGGAGTGTCTGAGGTGTTGTCTGGAATCTGGCCCAGCGTTGTGCGTGCAGTAAGAGACAGCAGGAGGTTAGTTAATGATTGTTTTGATGGAGCTGATTAGGGCTGTGTGCTGTGGAGTCAAACTTATTTGTGCCTAAAGGTAGACAATCAGAGCTTCGTGCTGGTTTAGATTATATTCGTCTGTCACTAAACTAAATATTTAGTGTGACGTTTGAGAATTTTAGTAGTGTGGCATGTTTCAAGGGATAAGCTTGTACCTGCCTGCGTAAATTTAAGCAGCAACAGATGTCGTGTTTCACTGTAGACGTGATGGCTGTAAAATATAAGACAATGAGGCTAAATCTCAGCAGCCTCTTTCTGTTTGAAGGCACATTGCTGAGTGGATTGAACTGTGTTAGTCACCTGTTGCGCACAATGCCACTTCACCGTTGTCTGCAAGAAGGGTGCCAGTGTGATTCAGCACAGGGCGGTGGAGTGGTCTTTAGTTCGGAGTGTGGGTGATGGGCTGGCTGCAGTGTCTAATGTGATCATGAAATGCAAATGTGAATATTGAAAAGAGGTGAACACGAGGATGATGAAACGCTGGCAAATGTTGGTAGTGTTTAGCCACTTGGTTACAGAATAAAAGATTAAGGAACGCTGACGTTTGTCCTGTGAGAAAGAAAAGCTCAGAGCCCTTTAAAGACTACAAGTGACAAAAGACTTCATCATGTTCGCCTTTTTGTGGAACAGAAGTGTGCGTCAGTTCTGTTCCCGCTGAGAGATGCTACTTAGTCAGAGACACAGACTGCATCCCCTCAATCAGCAGGTCATTATCAGAGAGGAGTGGAAGCTAACATCTGTTGATCTCTTGACGGGCACTTTAGCATTCATAAAACCTTCAGGAGCCGGAGCGAGCCTACCTCATCTGTCCTGCGTAACCCCAAAGTCAACAACTTTATCTATCACCAGTAGCTGCTTTCGCTGCACGGCTAAACTCGCAAAAGGAGGAACTGTAATTTGAAAAGTTTACATTATGCACAGCACATGTATTTTTAGCTCTGTCTCACTGTGAAGAGAGTGCACCCTACGGTTATTTTGGCCAGCTGTCAACAAACATAAACAGAAGGTTTAACACTCGTGTTGGCACCAAAGGTGTTGGCGTACGTTTACTCCTGGCATTACTGAGAACTAACTCAGCGGCATACATGTTAAAGTGGAGTTAATTAGACCACTGGGAAGTGTCAGAGTTAAATTAATAGTTTTATCCAAGTCCAGATGGACAGTGCCAGCCAGCTAATTATTCTAGTTTTGCAACAATGTGTTATGAGGGTATTGTGTGCTATTTATCATCAATCCATGTATTGTTTATTTGGCACTACTGTTCAGCTTATTATTATTACAAGTACTTATTAAAATAAAAAACAACAACAACTTTAAATTTCTTGGTTTACAAAATAAAACATATTAAAACAAACTTTAAATAGAAATATTAACAGCATGGACGTGGTGCAAAAGCCAAGCTTGGATATGATATGTCTACATGATATGTACACTCACCAGCCACCTTATTAGGTACACCATTGTAATATTGAGTTGGAGCTCTTGTTGCATTCAGAACTATCTTAAGTCTTCATGGCATATATTCAACAATGTGCTGGAAACATCCTACAGAGATTGACATGAGAGCATCACACAGTTTGTTGGCTGCCGTGATGTGAATCTACAGTTGAACCACATCCCAAAGGTGCTCTGTTAGATTGAGATCTGGTGACTCTGGAGGCCATTTAAACACAGTGAATTGTAATGTTCAAGAAACCAGTTTGAGATGATCTGAGCTTTGTTACATGGTCTGTTATACTGCTAGAAGCAGCCATCGGAAGATGGGTAAGCTGTCATCATGAAGGGATGACATGGTCAGGAACAATAGTCAGGTACTCTGTGTTTTTAAACAATACTCAGTTGGTACTACAAATAGTGCCAAGAAAATATACCACACTCCATTACACCACCAGCAGCCTGAACTGTTGATACAAGGCAGGATTAATGCTTTCAGGTTGTTTATGCTAAATTTGACCCTACCATCCGAAAGTCCCAGCAGAAGCTGAGACTCATCAGACCAGACAACGTTACTGTGATTCTTTACTATCCAGTTCTAGTGCATCTGTGCAAACTGGAGCCTCGGATTCTTGTTCTTAGTTGACCAGAGTGTTGGTCTGCTGCTGTAGCCCATCTGCTTCAAGGTTTGATGTGTTGTGCATTCAGAGATGCTCTTCTGCATACCTTGATTGTAACAAATTGGGTTACTATTGATAAGATAAGATAAGAGTCTTTATTGTCATTGCACAGCCACACATAGTACAATAGTACAATAGTACAATGAAATTGGAAAACTGTCCCACGTCGGCACGTACAGCACAAAAAATCACGACACATCACAACACAACACAGCAACTTATGTAATAAAAGTAATAAAAAGAAAAATAAGTGTATGTGTACTGCACATTGTTATTATTGAACCTTGTTATGAATATAAATATTATTATTTTTATTGTTGTTACCCCCCGAAAAAGTCCAGGGAGGTAGGCAATCAGGTTTGCATTGATTAGGGCTATTGCCCTGTTGTAAAAGCTGTCCTTGAATCTGTTCGTCTGCGACCACAGCAGCCTGAACCTCCTGCCAGACTGCAGCAGCTCAAATACCCGGTGTCCTGGGTGTGTGCTGTCCTGTAGGATGCTGCGTGCGCTCTTGAGACAGCGAGTGCTGTAGAGGTCCTTCAGGGAGGGAAGAGGATGTCCAATGACTTTTCGGACCATATTAATGACCCTCTGAAGTGCTTCCCTATCAGATTGGCAGAGTCAGACCATTCTCATCTGAGCTCTGACACCAATGAGGTATTTTCTCTCAGACAGAATTGGCATTTACTGGATATTTTCTCTTTTTTGGACCATTTTCTATTAACCCTAGAGGTGGTCGTGTGGAAAAACCCACTATATTACATGTTTCTGAAATGCTCCAACTGGCCTGTCTCACACCAACAACCATGCCACTTCACTTTTCTTCCCCTTTTCTGATATTGAGTTTGAATTTCAGTAGATCATGGTAACCAACAGTGTAGATACTAAACTCAGTTGTTTGCATGTGGTCAGCTGATTAGATATTTGTCAGTATTTAGAGCACTCATCAAACATCCCTTTTCTGCTTTCAGGCTAACGAATGTTAAGATACATTCATATAAACTTGGCAAAGTGGCACTTAGAGTTTAGTTTGAAAATAATCCAAAATTAAAATCTTCATTTGATTTCCAGAATGAATTATTATAAGTGTGGTCAGATCGACTCAGTTACCATTGGGGTTTTATTATCAGTATGTGAGTTATACCATCTCCTGACAGGACAGTAAAGCATCAAAGTACACACATAGCTAGAAGATTGTAGTGTTCTGAGCGAAGGGGCCAAAATCCTATTTTACAATTTTAAACACAGTTATCTGGATCAAAAAAAAATACAAAATAACATAATTAGTTCCTTCTTTCTCTGCTCCTCTTCATCAAGTTCATAAGAGAGAATGTGAAGTGCAAAACGCAATTGCAATACACCTATGAATAGCCACTAAAGGAAGGGCAGAAGAACAGGAGACGGCTATTGTCAGTTTCTGAGGAGAGAAAAACAAACAAGTGGAGGGGAGGAATCTCCTTCTCTTTGGCCCCAGGGGATGTGGGCTTGGTAGCTTCTGGAGCTTTGCTTACACCACCTTTACTCTTCTGACTTTATTGTTGGAAAGGTGAAAGACCCTTTATAAAGCTTCCGTTCATGAGAAAGTACTGTAAGACTCACCTTAATAATCATTGTAATTTTGTAATATATGGATCTCAGTGTGAGTGCAAAACGTTTTTCCTTCTAATATCACACTGGATCCGACTGAAGAATTGATAAAATCCTGGACTGGTTTCCTCCAATATTCTAAAGACTGAGAAAGGCACTCCTGTCTGACAG